AGCTTTTTATTAGTGTGTTCTGTAAGCTCCTGGATTGTTTTGTTTAATACTTCCATTATGTTTTCTGTGATCCCATGAAGCACCTCACTGATCCATTGTTTAATCTCTGCTATCCTTTGTTTGGCTTTTGCTTTCTTGCCCCTTGATCCGCTACCCTCCCACCCCCTTACCCCCGAGTCTGCTTTGGGTGAGTTTGGAGTTTGGGAGGCATTTGTCTTCTCTTGTTTTTATTGTTATTTTGTTTTGCTTTGTTTTTGGGTTTGCAGGTGCTTGCCGTGTAAAGTATTTGTTGGGAGTATGAAGTTTTCTTTAGTTAATATGCTTTTCAATAACATACTCTAGGCTTGGCTAATTATAGTCTTGCCTTTGTCCCAAGACCCAGCCTCCTCTGTTAATTTGGGAAGGGAGGATGCAGTGCAGTTGGCCCAACACCCACTTGTATGGTTAATATCACGAAGGTAATCTGTGATTGACATCAAAAGAAGACCTATTAATAGCAACCCTCAGTCAGCAAAAGTAATATTGTCTGAGAGAATCTGTGTCACCATACCACAAGAACCAATTACCAACCTTAATCATGGGAAAGAAAGCCACAGTTATAGTACAAACACTAAGATGACCCAGATATGAACATAAAACATATACAGAGCCTACCAAAAAAGGTATATATACTTCCGGTAAAGAAAATCTTATATAGATATTTTAATAATTAAATTAATTTTAAAAATAAATTTATTGAGACATCATGAGATTAGTGCAAGTTATCTTCGATTTCTGCCTTTGCAAGAAGTGCTCAGAGTGCTGATCATTAGCATCCAGACACTTGTTAGTAGGCAGCTTCTGCTTTTGGTCACTGAAATTGCTGCATGTGCATTTTCAGTTTCTTTCTAAGGGCCAGCAGTGTAGTGAGTTTTCTGCAATATAGGATATCCTCTAGGGTTCTCCCTATGAGGGTAACACCAGCTGTTGAAAAAACATACTATTTTTCTTCTCCTGAAGTATGTGTACTTTTTCTTTTTTGGACTCTCAAGTACTGCAAGCAACAATTATACCTCCACTAAT